GAAAGGGTGTTGTGACAAGTTAGTGGCACCCCCCTCCAGTCCGCCCGTCTGCGGCTGCCAGGCTCGGCGGGAAACATTGTTCACCGCACTAATAAACGCCGCTGAGCGCACGCGCTCCGGCCAGTCATCGTCCACCCTCACAACCAGGCTGCGTGTCGTCTCTCCTCGGCGGGTGCTTCGGCCCCCTTCGTCCACGTTCGAGAAAGATCGTGACAGGTGTCACTCCGGTGGTCTCTTGTACGGCCGTGTTGTAGGCAAATGTGACGTACGGCAACACCTCGTCCCATGTCTTGTGCTCCACGTCGACGTACATGGAGATCATGTCGGCGATGGTCTTGTTGAGTCTCTCCGTTAGCCCGTTGGTCTGTGGGTGGTACGCCGTGGTGCGGCGATGGCTGGTGTGACTGAGTCGGAGGATTTCTTGGGTCAGCTGTGCCATGAACGATGATCCGCGATCTGAAATCAAAACTTCTGGAGCGCCGTGCCGGAGGACGATGGACTCGATAAAAAACTTGGCGACTTCAACAGCCGTGCCTGCTAGAAGGGCTTTTGTCTCGGCGTACCGCGAGATAATCGGTGGCGACGATAATCCAGCGGTTTCCCGACGTTGACAGCGGGAATGGCCCAAGTAAATCCATTCCGATCTGCTGGAACGGCATAGACAGGGAGAAATCGACTGCAGAAGTCCTGACGGCTTCGTCGGCGGTTTCTTGCGTCGCTGGCACTTGTGGCATGATCGAATGTATAGGTGAACGGTCTTCGGTAGCCTCGGCCAGTAGTACTTTTCTCGAATCCTGGCGAGCGTCCTGCTGTAGCCAAGGTGTCCAGCCGTTGGGTCGTCATGGCATCCTTGGAATATTTCATCTCGAAGGCTGGCAGGAACAACCAACAGCCATGCTGTGTTGTTGTTGACGAAGTTTTCCTTGTACAGCACCCCTTGCCGCATGGAGAATGTATGCAGGATTCTTAGGAAAGCACGGGGAACCGAACTCGCTTGTCCCTCTAAGTGCTCGATGAGCGCTCGCAGTTCAGGGTCGTCTCGTTGGAGTGCTGCCATGTCGCTGACGTCCAAAGCGCCGAGGAAACACTCATCGTCGTCGTTGTCGTCTTCGATACGGGCAGGTCCGGCCTCGACAGGAGCTCTTGACAGGCAGTCGGCGTCATTGTGCTTCCGGCCGGACTTGTACACAACGGTCATGTCGAACTTCTGCAGTCGTAGGCTCCACCGGGCGAGGCGTCCGGAGGGGTCTTTCAGATTCGCGAGCCAGCAGAGCGAGTGGTGGTCCATGATCACGCGAAAAGGACTTCCATACAGATATGGGCGAAACTTTGTTATTGCCCAGACGACAGCAAGGCACTCCTTTTCAGTTGTAGAGTAGTTCCTCTCCGCCTTAGACAGCATCCGACTCGCATATGCGATGACTCGCTCTGCCCTGTCCTGCCTTTGAACTAGCACCGCACCAAGTCCGGTGTTACTGGCGTCCGTGTGGATCTCTGTATCAGCGAACTGGTAGAAATGGACAAGAATCGGGGGCGTCTGGAGTCTTTGTTTCAGCTCATCGAATGACCGCTGGTGTTCGTCTGTCCATTCGAACTTTACGGCGTCCTTCGTGAGGTGCGTCAGCGGTGCAAACAGCTTGGCGAAGTCCCGAACAAATCGTCTGTAGTAGGCACAAAGACCGAGGAATCTTCTCACTGCCTTCTTGTCAGACGGCGGCGTAAGTGCAGCTACGGCGCGGGTCTTCTCGGGGTCCGGGAGAACACCTTTGTTGCTCACGACGTGGCCAAGGAACTTAAGTTCACCATAGGCGAATCGGCACTTTGTCGGCTTGAGTGACAGGCCGGCGGTCTTGATGGCTTGAAGCACGGCTCGAAGTCGTTTGAGGTGCTCGTCGAAATCTCGTGAAAATACCACGACGTCGTCGAGGTAGACGAGGCAGCTCTGCAGTCGGTCTAACGTATCGTCGATGCGGGGGAGCGGATAGACGTCCTCCTTCATCACAGCGTTCAGTCGACGATAGTCCACGCAGAACCGCAGGGTTCCGTCCTTCTTTACAAGGACGACTGGGGAGCCCATGGACTTCTTGAGGGTTGAATGATGTCGTCGTCGAGCATTTCTTGGACTTGATCCTGAATCACCTTCCTTTCCTTTAAGGAGACTCGATACGGCGATTGATGGACAGGGAGCGCGTCGTCGTCGGTAATAACGCGATGTTTCACCATTGGTGTTTGGCGAACTTTCGACGACGTGGCAAAACAGTCACTGTATTCGGCGAGGAGATCAACCAGTTGCCGGCGCTTAGGAGCTGGGAGCTCGGGGTTGATGTCGATAGGCGGCGGCGGCGTGCTGTTCTGTTGTGACGACGAGGTTTCTTCGGAGATTGCGGTGACCACGGCTGGCGCCTGAAACTCCTCAATGTGGCCCACAGTGGTACCCTTCGTTATGTGCTGCGGCTCCTCTCGGAAGCTTGTCACAAGAACAGTTGTACGTCCTTGGAGATCCGTTACGCCTCGTGCGACGCCAATTCCTTTCTCAAGGAGCAGTTGGACGCTGCCTTCCAGAAGAGCTTCACCGTGCATGGCTGCGTCGGTTATGACGGTGACGAAAACACTCGACCGCGGCGGTAAGTTCACGAGGTCGACGATAACTCTGATCGCGGTTGACGTCGTGTTGGTCTCCACCGGCGGTAAAACAGGCTTTCGCAGCGTTAGCTGGTTTGCCCCGAGGTCGATGACGGCGCCATACTCGCAGAGGAAGTCCATTCCGAGGATAACGTCCCTCGAACACTCTTGCAGAACGACGAACTTCACAGGGCACGTCTCACCGTGGATCTCGACGCGAGCAGTGCATCTCCCGACTGGTGTGATTAGGTGCCCTCCGGCGGTCCGTATTTGTGGTCCATCCCACGGCGTGGTGACTTTTCGAAGGCGTCGGGAGAGTCTCCCACTCAAGACCGAGTAGTCTGCTCCGGTGTCCACGAGTGCTGATGCGTCGTGGCCGTCAATGACGACGTTTAGGTTATTGGACACCGCTGCAGGGGCGTCGTTTCGGTCTCTGGTAGCGTTCGAGTGGGGGCCCTCTGACGTTCGTGGAGGATCTTGGCGTCGGTCGTCTTCGGCAACTCCAACTCCAGAGGTTGTCACGCCTAGTTTTCCCGGCGTGGAGCGAGGGGCGACAGGCTTTCACGTCGGGGTCGGTGCATCGGTGAAGCTGGACGTTGTGGCGAAGGCGACCGGTACTCTCAGCGGGACGCAGGCTCGGGGGACTGAGGTCGTCGCAGGTACTCGTCGATTTCCCGAGGCCGTTCACCATAACGGGGTCGCGGGTCGTTCGGGTGGAACCCGCGCAGCCCGAGTCGACGGTATGGGCATCGGCGGTAGGTGTGGTCTGCTTCCCCGCAGTGGAAGCACAGAGGGCGTTGGTCAGGCGTTCGCCACACGTCGGTCTTTCGGGGTACGCGGGGCTCCGTGCAGGCGTCCTGGACTTGGTCGTCGTGGCGTCGGTCGTGCTGCGGTGCAGGAGACTGACGTCGGGGCGGCGCGACATTGGCGCGAGTAGGAGCTAGGCGGTGGCCGTCGGGCCACTGCGGCGTAAGTTAGCATGGGTTCTTCAGGGACTGCCACGCTGATGGGAATAACCTCTGGTTGGATGGCTCTCTGCACTTCTTCCCGTACGACCTCGGCGATGGAGATCGAGGCGGGGCGATCAGAGTCGGGTAGAATTTTCCGGAGCTCTTGCCGGACGATTTCCCGGACAATTTCACGAAGGTTGTCAGGGCGGATGTGGCCCTCGTCGATTCGGGAAGATGCCAGCGTCGAAGCAACAGGCGTGTCGGCGATTCGGTTGTAGTGGCTGGCTCGGGCTTGCAGGGCACGCTCGATGTTTGTTGCCTCGGCGACAAAATCTTCGACAGTTGTCGGAGGGCTGCGGGCAAGGCCACCAAAGATGTTTTCTCTCACGCCCTGCATGAGGATTCATAGCTTCTCTTCTGTAGCCCGAGGGTCGGCGCGGGCGCTCAGGCGCAGGACGTCCTCTACGAAGCCGGTGACACTCTCGTTGGGGCCCTAGGTTCTGGTTCGCAGTAGGTCCTCGGCTCTCTCTCGGCGGTGGTGGTTGATGAATGTAGCCTTGAGATCGGTCTTGAAAATGTCCCACGACGTCAGAGAGGACTCATGATTCTTGTACCAGCGCTTGGCGGTCCCCACAAGCGAAAAATAGACATTGTGCAGGCGCTGCTCGTCGGTCCAGCAGTTGTGGCGTGCAACGCGTTCATACTCGTCAATCCAGTCTTCGACGTCCTCGTACTGCTCGCCGTGGAATGGAGCAGCCGTCTACGGTACGACGGGCAGGTAAACGACGGCAAGAGCGGCCGGGGTCTCCGACTGGTTGGCCATCGTCGTCCTTCTGGTTTGCTTGGTCTTGGTTGCCAGCAGTCCGTATTCAGGGTCTAGGAACTGGATGCGGCGACTTACTCGGGTCTCGGTAGTGTCTTCGTTGGGTACTCGGGAGCTTGGGTTTGGACTCGTACTGCGGGAACTCGGAGGGGTGCGCTGCACGGACATGCGGTACCCCGCACCTCCACCAGAATGTCACGGGTGGTGACCAGAATAACAATAAATCAACAGGAAGAAATAAACGTTTAATGTGGCGAACTTGTGCCCAAAACAAAAAGGGAATAGAAAATAATAATAAAGTGTCGCGTCGAAGTCGGCGAGACAGCAGAGTCAAGTGCTGGGGCGAAACTGACTCCGCTCGCCTTGCGGAATCCCTTATGTACCCTCGTGGGTTTCTGGATCGTTCGGCGTAGAAGGTTCGGCGCGTAGAACATTCTAACCTCGAATCAGCAAGACGGTTCTCGAATTCACCAGAACATCACATTACAGTGTCAACAAAAATGTGTAGCCGCGGCCAGGAATCGAACCCTGGCCTTCTGCCTGGAAGGCAAGTGCGATAACCGTTATGCCACGCGCACGCTGCCTCCTAGGCAAGCTGCGCGCGCGGCAATATATAAAAATAACACAATAACGGGTGGAACTGACCCCCAAAAAAAATTAAGCTATGTACACAGCACTGTCGGCGTATGAAGGAACCGGGCGACTTCAGAAGGCCGGGGCGAGGCTCCCGCCAAAGGTCTTGAGGAGGTTTTGGAGGGAAATTATGTCCTCCCTCCTCAGGGTCTGTCTCTTGGCGTGGAGGGAACACAGGTAACTCGCAGACAGGAAGTTAGTCACGAACTGCTCCGACGCGTCCTGGAAAAGAGGTGACGCCCGTCAAACGCCAACGATTCGAGGCGATGCGTTAGAACTGGGACAGGCCCACAATTTTAATGTCGAAAAATTTACGGCTCACATTTTTCATATTGTTTCTATTGGCAAAAGAGGAGAAAATGTGCCGCCTTCGTTCAGAATGCAGCAAATTTGCTGCATACAGTAGAATCTCGATGATACGACGACGGTTCGTCCGAATTTCGGTAAGATATGAATTTTTCGAAATTCCCGGCAGAAGTTTGTTAAGACTAATCTATTACGTTTCGGGATAGTCCGAATGCTTTCTCGGCCGCGGAGGATCATGTGAACGATCATCAACAACCTTTACACATCCTGCAGGACGGCATCACTTGACTCCTACAACTGTAGCAGGCTTTTTGAGTCCTTTCTCTCGCAGTTCTTTCTATGTACGCACCATGCAATCCCGATAACCGTAGGTGCGTTCCGAAATTCGAAAACACACCCACGTCCACCGCTGCTCTGTGTTGTCGCGTGATGAGAATTTGGCTCGCTGGAGTAACTCGCGTTTGCTTACTCCAGGGTTGCTGCTTTATATTTATTGTCACGCGATAAACAAGTTTCAGCAACTCTGACTGACTCGAGTGAACGTGAGAAATGACGTTTGGAATTGACGTTGATCGTGGAATCAACCCTTATCTAACGGCTTTCGCAAAAGTGAATTCACAAATCCTACAGTGGCTGCTCCTCCGGAACCAGACGAAAACTTGAGAATTGAGGACCGAGACCTGCGCTTTATGCTGAGAAATCGGCCTTCGATTTCATTACCGCAAATGACAGCCTCGCTACTCGCGGATTAAGGACTGCCGAGGCAATCGTTGAGGAAGTGACAGCATTGGAAGGATGGTCAAGTAGCGGAGATGATGACGGCGACGTAAACTAACGACAAGCAGCCACCGACGACTGCTGAAACACTGCATGCCCTCGATGTGCTGCGCCGCATAGTGAGCCCGAGATCAAGGTCAGGAATGACAGGTACGCTCGTTCTTCCGTGTTTCAGAAGTGCCGTTTAAGTGACATCGAAAAAAAAGAAGACTCGGAAGAAATAAATTTCAGTAGAGTAGATTGTTGGGCTAGTTGGTTTTGGACTTTGGAATACATTTTAGCGCCCAAAAAACAGGGACAAAGAGGCGAGAAACAGACAGCACAGTGCGCTCTGTGCTCTGTGCTGTCTGTTTCTCGCCTCTTTGTCCCTGTTTTTTGAGCGCTAAAATGTATTCCAGACTCGAAAGAACATTACCGACTTCTTTAGATGGGAGTGTGACCAATGAATTGGAAGTAAACCATGATGGGAGTGTGACCAATGAATTGGAAGTAGTCATGTGAAACCAAAGGGGTTTCACATGACTATGTGAAACCCCTTTGGTTTCACATAGTCATGTGACTTGTTTTTTGTTAGTATGAATTTTGGACGATACAAATATCTCCTGCGATCCCTCGAGATTTATATCATCGATCTTCTACTGCAATTGCAAAGAGCAAAACCATATTTTTTTTTTAATTTGCAGTTTTGTGTGGTTGTCATCGGAACTATGGCGTGACCTTTTTCGCGGTACGCGTGTTTTCGCGGCGCTATCTATCACCTTTGGGAATATAATCAAACCGTTTCCTCTCCTTCGCTACCTTAACGTCTTTTCCCGCGGCAAGTTGTCCCACCTCGATACCTCGACGATGGCAAGCGTGACCTTGAAAAGTCGACCAACGTGCAGGGAAGGCTGCTGATCCCAAAGACGACACCGAAACTCACTCGAAACACTTCTACTTGTTCAATCTCTTTGTAGATTAAAAACTAATGCACACAAGAAAGAAAGGGTTCCCGCTCCTCATATTATGGTTGGCCTTGACTAATTCCCACAATTACTTGGCCAAAGTTAGAAAATCGTTGCACCGCCTCTTGAAAGGGGAGACGCTGCTCTTTCACGTAATGGAGGACTGGCAGTCGGGTCTTTTAGTGCACGGCGGCTCGGAGAGCGGAGAGCACAAGCTCGCACAGCAAGAACCAAGGTTCCTGGGTCTTGTGATCCTCCCCTCTCCTGCCCGTTTCGATCTGGACGAGCATTCTACCGGCGTGCGGTCGTGTTTCGCCAAGCGACGAATGCCAAAGACCCAAGGCTAGCAGTGGTATCGACTAAATAGGCCATTAGGTTGATTCAGTCACAGGCCTACCTGACCTACAACTGAATAGGCATGTATTGACGAAAAAAAGGACTACCGTAAAATCCGAAGAGATGTCCCACCCGAGAAAGGTAACCCACCCCCCTTTCTGGCTCGAGGTGCTATTTCATTTGAAACACCGAAAGATGGCCCCCTCCTAGTAATTGTAGTTTCGGATCAATGATGACCGTGGCGTAAATGCGTCTAGTTAGCTATGGCGAGACATAAGCCAACACTGCTGATTGGAAAGTACAGTCATCTTTGCTTCATTGCCCCTTGCCGCGATAACAACTTTGACAGGGACACACAATCAAAAAATAGCATTTTTTCAACTTGCCCCGACTGCACACCAAAAGCTAGCCCACGCCTCATTTCCACCCAATTTTCCAACTATTTTAAGTGGGCTATCTCTCGGGACTTTACGGCATGTGGGCCAACATCGACGGGGCGCCACGACGGCGACCAAAAGACGAGGCAGACCCACCTGTAGCACCGGCAAGGCGAGCCTCTGCATGTAGTAGCGGTCGGAGTGACTGGGGGCCAAACCCTGCAGTATCTCCCTCACCACCCGCGCAAATGACAGCCGCGGAATGAGGGGCCGCGTGGTCCTCTGGAGGCGACGGATGTCCCTGAGCCAGGGCGGAGTGCGATGCTTCGACCTCCGATTGCCCTGGGCAGAAGAGGAGAGACAACCGCGCTGATTAGCTCCCGCCGATTGGCCTCCACCGGGCTAAAGGGTCAACCGCCATTTTTAAAAAGAAAACTGACGGCGATTTGTTTTTCTTCTAAAGTCTTACGCTGCATGAAATGCGGTATTTCAGGAGCGGTCGTCTAAATTTGCTTAGAAGACACTTAACGGTCGTCTCGGAAAGAAGCTACACATTTATTAATTTTACTGCTAAACCTGGCGGGAAATGCACTGACGGGAGATGGATGGGCGAAATCTTCCGATTGATGGAGCTCCATTGAAAAGCATTTCGCACCTTCAAAAAAAGAACTCTAGGAATTTCTGCAGTTAGGCAAATCAATACCAAAAAAACACAAAAAAGAAGCTCTTTTTGCATTGTTGTGCCAAAGGCAGACTTAACACAGAATGCATTGCATACTGCTTTGCAATGAAACTGCCGGAAGGACTCTGCACGCGTCTTGCGCCTTGACGGCACGAATGTTGTCGTGCGCTACGTCTCTGCAAGAGAGTCCCGCCAAAAGCGGAGTAAGCTCTGCCCGCGCACCGAAAGTGGTCTTGAAGTGGCAATGAACACACCGTCGCTGGGACACCGCCCTTCTGCGGTGCCATCGGGCGGAAATCGAGGGACCATTTTTCTTTGGACGCGGTAAATGCGCCGATCGGGGAACCGTTTTGGACGCCCTGGTGGGAGTAAAATGCGAAGTTCGCGCACGCAATCGACAACTAAAAGTTACCCGTCTGCTACAATCTCTTAAAATTATGCGATTTTTCGTTTGTTTGAGCAGTATTTATGGTCCGCGGGGGGCCGTAGCTGAAAACAGTTCTGAGAGATTAAAAATAACCTTTTTGGGGAGAGGGGAATCTTAAAAACCCTTACATTTAATGCTTTTTACGGAACATCGAGACAATGTGTACGGGGTGTCCCAGATTACTTGCATCAAACTTTAAAACAAAGCAAACGGAGTCCTCCAGGGAAGTAAAACCAACTGTACGTCGTTAGCAAGCGTCTTAACATAGTTGCCGCATTTTTCTCGATCTGCCCAATTATTCGGTCGATTAAGACTAATTAGCAAACTTCAGTTTGTGAATTGGAAAGCGCCCCGTGTCTTTTAGATTTGGTACAAGTCATCCCAGACCCCTGAAATATATATCTTTTAACCTGTTTACAATCCACGCACTAAATACTCGCAAATGGCGTTCATTTACACCTACGCAATGACGCGTTTGATTGCACGGTGCCCCACACACCGTACAAAAATCACAGGAAGTCGCTGTTGCCGGGTGCCATTAATGATGCCCGCGAGACGGTCAGGCGAGCGTCGCTACTCGTGAGCTCCTTCGACGGCTTCGGCGCCCGCGTCGCACGGTTTCAAGATGGCGGCGCCCGTGCAACCGGGGGGGGTAAAGATGGGAGCAGAGCACGAAAAATCGTGAGCGCCGACTTCACCGGTCCTGAGAAAAGTGACGATAAAAACGGCGGCAGAAAAGAGGGGAGAGAAAGCAGACGTGCGCTTTTCTCCGCAGCGACCAGAGGTCGCTGGAACTCTGGTTGACTTTGTGTTCGTGGCATAAGCAACGCTGAATTTTTTTTTTCTGCATGGCAGGTTTGAAGAGAAGGCGGCTCCGACCTCAGGGGCGACAATCTGCCGCCTCTCAGTGTGCATTAAGGAGCTGCCGGCTACACGGGCTCGTCGGCACCTTCCTCCGGTACCATCCGACGTCCGCGTCTACGCCGCCCCTCCGTACCGAAGCGGCCGGGATGCGTGGGACCATTTCCTCCCGAACATCTCGATAACTCGACGCTACTCTCGGCACATCTAGTAGAGTGGTTTTAGTGCCCGTATTTTTCAAGATGGCGGCGCCCACGCAAAGACTGCGAGGAAAGGGCCACTTACCCTCCTGGGAGAGGTAGACTCTTGCCTCCCGCCGGGTCCCTTTGAAGTTGAAGGCTCCGGTGCCGGGGTTGGCGGACGTCTTTCTGGCGTGGGTTCGGCCCCTAAAAAGATGTTAAGGTAAGTAAGAAAAACTAAAATTACACCATCTGCCCGAGGGGAACCATGGGGTTGGTTGGTTGGTTGGTTGATTTGGTGTTTATGGCGCAAAAGCTACTAAGGCCATAGAGCGCCAAAAACGAGACTATTGCTGGAAAAGGTTTGGAGAGAAAAAAGAGGCTTTAGTAGCCAGTGATTAGATAAAAGATGGTAATGGGGTACCAAAAGGTAAAAGGGTGATGGGCATGATCTGTAGGTTAAGAAAGCTACAATCGGTGTAGAAGGCCGATACTATCTAAAAATTTGAAAACATTAGTATGTGTCACAAGAGAATCATCACTTAAGAGCAGAGCTGGGTGTAGTGGAACTTGTTCTTGATACAGCTGCGAAAAATACAAAAGCCGTTCTTCATTGTAAGCAGGACATTCAACTAGAATATGAAGAATGCTTAAGGCATTGTCACACTGCTCACAAGTGGGGGCATCTTCCCCACGAAGGAGGTAGCCATGAGTCAGATGAGTGTGACCAATCCTGAGCCGGCAAAGGAAAACCTCAAAGAAGCGTTCCTGGTGGCGTGCACTCTGCCATTCGCTCAAAAGAGGTTTGATCATGTGCAACTTGTTGCCGATTTCTGGGTCCCATTCAGCCTGCCATTTGCGCTTAACGTGACGCCTGAGAAGGCCTTTGTAGTCTGTATAAGGAATGCTGTCGAGGTCAACTGTTCGTTTTACACAAGTACTTGCTGCGCGATCTGCTGCCTCATTGCCCGGAATGCCCACGTGGCTGGGAATCCAGCAAAATACAATCTCGTATCCCTGTCTTGAGGCAGCAACAACCTTATTTCGCAGTTCAAGGAGCAGGAAGTGCTTGAGGGGTGTTAGTGAAGACAGTGCATGCAATGCACTGAGGGAGTCTGTGTATACGATGGAGCGAGAGAGCTTTTTATCAAGTATGAAGCCTATGGTAAGAAGCAGACCATAGAGCTCCGCTGTAAAAATAGAAGCAGAGGAGTTGATTCGCCTAACAAGCTGAACTGTTGGGAAAATCATGGAACACCCAGCAGCAGATTCCGTCTTTGTACCATCTGTGTAGAAGCTTACATATTCGGAATACTGACATTTCAGTGCTAAGAATTCCTGAAGAAACACACCATTAGGAGTATCAGCTTTCTTGTATCGCGTGAGTGAAAGGTCACACTTAATGACAGGGTGCTCCCAAGGTGCTCCCGCAACAGTAGACTGCACTACCGGGGGCTTCCAATCGAGTCCCATGTTCACACTGGCACTTTTCAATCTCAAAGAGAAGGGAGGCACAATTGTGGCTTTGTTTTGAAACACCCTTTCAGAGCGCATGTCTTCCACGGCCATTCGCGCAGGGTGATCAGAGATGGACCTGACTCTCAGGGAATACATAAAGCCCAGAGAAAATCTTCTCTTCTCAAGAGACAGCTCTTTCGCCTCTGCATACAGACTTGGCACAGGAGACGTGCGAAAGGCACCCGTCGCCAATCGCAATCCAAGGTGATGAATAGGGTCCAGCATTTTTAGAATGGAAGGCCTAGCTGAACCGTAAACAATACTGCCATAGTCCAGTCGTGATCGCACTATCGAGCGATATATCCTAAAAAGGCACGTCCGGTTAGAACCCCAGGATCGGTGGGACAGGACTTTAAGAATATTAAGTGATTTCTAAGCTTTTAATCTCAGATTCTTAATATGGGCACCAAAGGTTAGTTTGCTGTCAAATGTAAGACCCAGAAACTTGTACTCACGCTTCACAGAAATTGTGGAGTTGTTTAGTGCAAGAACAGGTTCTGGAAGTAGTCCGCGTTTTCGAGAAAAGCACACACAAACTGTTTTATCTGAGGAAAACTTAAACCCATTTTGATTGGCCCAGGTTGATAGCTTATTGATAGTTAGCTGAATTCGTCGCTCACACAGTGACAGATTGCAAGACGACACTGAGATCTGAAGGTCGTCTACATAGAGTGAATATTGCACCGATGGGGGGATAGCCAATGCAAGGGAGTTCATTTTGACAATAAACAAAGTGACACTAAGAACGCCTCCCTGTGGGACGCCATTTTCCTGGAGAAACACTTTAGATAAAGCTGTTCCTATCTGAACACGAAAGGTGCGCCTGCTGAGGTAGCTCTCAATGGTACGAAGCATTCGACCACGGATACCCATATCATACAAGTCCCTCAGTGTACCAAAACGCCAGGCTGTATCGTAGGCTTTTTCGAGGTCAAAAAATACAGATAGGCAATGTTGTCTATGAACGAAGGCCTCACGCACGACTCCGTACTAAATGGTCAAGAGTGGACCGAGACGAACGATAGCCGCATTGGTTCATATCTATAGATGTCTATTTAGTTCAAGGAAATACATCAATCTTTTGTTAATTATTCGTTCAAGAGTCTTTCCAAAGCAGCTAGTCAAAGCGATAGGCCTATAACTAGCTGCACAGGATGGATCCTTACCGGGCTTGAGTATGGGTACGATTGTTGCGATTCTCCAGTCCAATGGAAAGTAGCCCTCAAACCAAATACGATTAAAAAGGTATAAAACAATATTAAGTGTGGAAGGATGGAGATGTTGAAGCATATAATAATGAATACCATCTGGACCAGGAGCCGATGACTTACAGTTTTGGAGCACTATGTTCAGTTTGTGTAAGGTAAAGGGGGCATTATAAGCTTCGCGTTCACCACCAGATGTTTTCAGTACCATACTTTCAGCTTTCCTTTTATGTTGCAGAAAAGCAGGCGAGTAATGCTGCGAGCTGGAAATGAATTCAAAATGCTCGCCAAGGATGTTGCCCTGCTCTTCAAGATTGCTTGGGCATTTTCCATTTCTGGAAAGAAGTGGAATAGTGCATGATATGAGCCATTTACTTTATGAATCCTGTCCCATACTTCCTTGGAAGAAGTACTACTATTGATAGAGGACGCATATTTTTGCCAGCTCTCGCGTTTCGCTTTCCGACGAATGTACCTAGCACGAGCTTTCACTTTTTGGAAAGATATCAGGTTGTCTCGAGTTGGATAACGTCTTAGAACACTCCAAGCTTTGTTTTGCTGTTTGCGACTCTCTTTACAGTCTTCATTCCACCATGGCTTCGGTCGTCTAGGGAGCTGTCCAGATGACCGAGGGATTGACAGTGACGCTGCAGTGAGAATATGAGATGTTAAAAGATGGCTGAGCTCATCAATCGAAAGCGAGGCGAGAACAGGCCAGGAGTGATGACTGCTTAAAAAGGCTCCAGTCTGCTTTTTCAAACTTCAAGCGTGGATAGGTGAAGACTGCGGAGTGTCGTTACATTTTAAAATAATGGGGAAGTGGTCACTTCCATGGGGATTCTGATCAACAAACCATGAAAAATCGGGCAGCAGATCTGCGCTGCCAATAGAAAGATCGATGCATGTAGATGACAAGGATGAAGGACTAAAATATGTAGGATGGCCAGTATTAAAAATGCATAATGACTGTGAAAATAATATGGATTCGATTATCTTTCCACGTGTATCTGTATGATCACTTCCCCAGAGGGTACTATGTGCGTTAAAATCACCGAGTAAAAGAAAGGGCTCTGGAAGCTGGCTTAAAAGAGAGTCAAGATCTTGTCGCTTCAGAGAAAGAGAAGGTGGAAAATACACTGAACATACAGTTATGGCTTTATGCAACAAGAGACGAACAGCGGTAGCTTCGAGTGGCGTCTGAAGCGGAACCTCTGCACATGGAATATGTTTTGGAAGCACCACCGCAACGCCGCCACAAGAAATGGACATGCTAGGGCGGTCTTTACGAAACACACTATAGCGTCTCAGAAAGTTAGTGTGAGATGTATTTAAGTGTGTTTCCTGCAAGCATAAGGCAGATGCCTTATACTCTTCTAAAAGGAACTCAACATCTGCAAGGTTAGTGAATAAACCACGGCAGTTCCACTGAAGAATTACAGAGCCCATTTTAAAGGATAAAAGATTTCATAAATGAATTAAAGCAATCCTACATGTGCTACACACTAAGGAGGAACCACCGGCTTTTTTCCTTTTTGTTTTGATTTAGCAGTTTGCCATTCCATGTCCTCCTGATCCGAGGAAGGAGCTGAAGAGTCGGCAATGTCAACAGCTCCCTCTGCATCCTGAACCTTGGACACAGGTTTGCCAGTTCCCACGTGGTCGGAGACCTGGACCACGAGTTTCCGGCCACGGCCAGACCCCGTCGAAGAAGTCTTCGACGTACCAGGCCGAGACCCTCCCACATTCACACTTTAGTCTTTTGACGTTGATGGAGCAGCAGGTGGGCCCTGTTGCTCCGAAACAAGGCGGGCCGCCTCCGAGGGATTTGAATGACGGCCTCGCTCTCCACCTTGAGAAGAGCTACTGGCACGAGGCTGCCGGACAGCCGGAGGTCGTGCCTGAATCGACTGGGGAGTCTGTGTGCTCCCAGCGTTACCTGGGGCACCCTGTTTCCCCGCAGGTTGTTTCGGGGCCTGAGAGGGGCCTGCCAAGTCCTCAAGAGAGAACTGAGTAGCCCTGGACTCCGTACGTAGTGCAGGGCCCCTGCGCACCGCGGCGGAGTAGGTACCTTTAGAAATGAAGGAAAACCTTTGTTTTGCTTCAGGGTACGACAGGTTCTCTTTGGCTCGTAAGGTAAGGATCTCCTTTTCTTGTCGCCACAGCGGGCAGGACCGAGAGTAAGCAGGGTGAGAACCCTTGCAGTTCGCGCAGGCAACTGGATCTTCACAGACGTCAGCCACATGGTCGTGGCTCCCACACTTTGCACATGTCTCCCTCCCCCGACAGCTGCGCGACCCGTGACCAAAACGCTGGCAACGGAAGCATCGCTGTGGGTTCGGGACGTACGGTCTGACACGACAATTCAAGTAGCCAGCTTTGACGAGTGCAGGAAGCGTGTGACGTTCGAACGTCAGGATAAGGTGTTTAGTTCTCACCTCTGCACCGTCACGCCTCGTCATAATGCGTTTGACCGCCACTACTCTA